AATTATTTATTATTTAATTAAAATATTTATTAACTTTTAAAAATAAAATAAGTAAAAATAAAAATTATTTTTAAAATTTTAATTTAAAAAAATTAAAAAAAAACATTTACTATTTTGAGGGAAGGAGATATATAAACTAGTTAGCTCATTAATTGTTATATAAAATAAGTAAAAATAAAAATTATTTTTAAAATTTTAATTTAAAAAAATAAAAAAAACATTTACTATTTTGAGGGAAGGAGATATATAAACTAGTTAGCTCATTAATTGTTATATATTTGGAAACTTTTAGAGCTGTTGTAATGAATGCCTTGTGTCATATATACGTTACAAATGTCTCCACCTGCCAACCGTCCAATTTAATTACTACTCCTAAATGGTAGTACTGATAAAAAAAAAAAAATCCTAATCCCTGATTTTCACCAGCATCTTATCTTCGTGTTTAGGTAAAGGATTTGTTGGGAATAATTTCCTTAAAGAGAGTGTAAGAAAAATGTTTATCAACTAAATTTTAAAAAATAATTTTTTAAATTTATATCTTTACGATATAAGTTAAGAATCTAATTATAATATTTTTTAATATTAATTAATATTAAAAAAATAAAAATTAACATTTATATAAATAGTTATTTAATTAAACTAATTCACATCACATTAAAAATAAAATTAATAATATTTTATATATATTTTTAATAATAATTAATGTAAAAATAATATAATAATTGCACTCTTAACTTAATATATAATTTAAATAATTAAAAAATTTAGAGAGAAAAATATTTTAATATTATTTCAATACAACTCTAAGTAAAAAAAGACTAATATAATCATTTTAAAATAAAAAGGATATTGTTTTGGTATATGGTAGTATATATTGGCTTGATTGGATACGTTGAGAGAAGATAATCATGCGACTAATTGCTTCGATTATTCCACCAAACAACATTATTATAAGTGGATATGCTAAGAGAAGGTTTAATTTTGTCATATTTTAATTAAGATTGTTTATTAATAAAATTTTAAATAAAAAATAAAAAATTATTTTTTTAAAAAAAATTTACCTTCTAATTTATTAAAAATTTATATTCTTAAATAAAAAATAAAAAAATTTATATCTTTATCAATGCTTTTTCTGTGTGGATATATCTGCTTCCAGATAAAATATATACCGCGTATGACTTCCAGTCATCTGAAGAATATAATAGCTAACTCAAGTTGCTTGGATTAAATAAAAGCTTAGTTTTCCAATACCAGATGGATATTATTACATAGCGTTTTTTTAATCCTTGTCTTAAAAGAATAAGTTAAGAGTCTTAAAAAAATAAAAAATAATATTTAATTTATTAATTACCTATTTAAATTTATCCATATGATATTGATACTAAAATTAATATTTATTTTTATATTTTTTTATACAAATTTATTATAAAAATGTGTTGTTAATCTGTGCTTTTAAGGTAGAAATTAGAAAAATCCTAATACATAACTTCTTAGAGGGTTAATTGCTTGACTTGGTGCAGAATTTTTGGCAGCACCACACATAAACTTCTAAAAGGGTTAATTGCTTGACTTGGTGCAGAATTTTTGGCAGCACCATATCACATTTTCAAAGGTTTTGCCAAAAGAATCAGCGTTAAAACTAATTATATAGAGTAGAATTTTGGGCTGTTCTAGGGAATCCTAGCATTGGGACTTCACTAGGCTATTGAGTTAAGAATTAGGAATATGGAAATTCATGTGGATTCAACTTGTGAATACTAACATGACAATGTTGATATTTAAGAATGTGCATACTTTAATGTCTCTATGCGGATTATCTCGTTAATCAAGCTTAGAGTTGCAAACCTCCTGGCCCATGCCCAGCGAGGGGCCATTGTATTTGGATTCCATGAAAAGAACTCATTTTGTCGTGAACGGGCACTGTTTAGTGCCCTTTTTTTCTTGTTATATGTAATGCATTGAAGTTCATCCACTCATGCCTTGCAAACAAAAGAAAACACTACACCACTCTTATTTTTGGTCAATTAAAGATGTGTGTGAGATGTCATATGTGAACACATCACTCTTAAATCAAACTACAAATAAGATATTCGAAAGGCAAAAGTATTTCTTTTAGAAGAAAACTATATAATATCCCGAAAGATCTGAAAGGAAGAATCCAAAGCCAATTTGTGGCGCATTTTGTTCTTGTCTTAAGTGAAACAATACCTGTCCACCTAGCAGCAAATGATTTGATTTCATCAGATAACATTAAAAATTGGACTTGATATTATTGAGAGGATGAACATTCACAAGATGCATATCATATCACTCACACACAAAGCTTTCGATCTTTTTTTCATCAGATAACATTAAAAATTGGACTTGATGCTATTTATCAGCTTTCTTATTATAAAGGAATATGTTTTAATGAGATCTTTGACTCAACACCATAGTGAATACCAACGTATATAGATTGAAATTAGGCACATGCCCTCATTACTTGGCTCTATTATATTAGAGATCAAAGCCAAGGTGTCTTCCAATCCATGATTCTCTCTACAGTATATATCTAGACAAGCTAACACCGTTGCAGACTGGTAGCTAAGCTAAGTCAACTTTGAAAGGCACGTGTCCTCATTACTGGGCTCATTGCCCTCGTAATCAGCTCCTTGGTTTGCTTTGTAAGGACGTATCTAGTTGGTCTTGGTTTGTTTTACTCACTGGATGAGTACAATATGTGTTTTGGTGCCTATTGTATATATACTGCATCGTGTAAAATTAACCTTTAGGAATAATATTCCATTGCCTATTTTCTTTAAAAAAGGGATATAGCTTGAACATAATCCTAACTTTTGGGAAAGATTTAGAATGATCTATTTGAATTAAGAGAAA